TTTGTGCTGGTTTCCTGGATTTACGCACTTTTTTTCTTCCTTGAACCAAAACCGCTGTTCTGGCCTTTTTGCAGATAATTGACTGATTTTAGCTAGATCTCACTCATAAAAACGTTTTTGCTGTTTTGGTTCTAAATTACGCTGTTTTAAGTTTTTTTTTTCGCACTGCATTAAGACTGTCGCCTGTTTCCAGCTCATTACGCTGTTTTAAGCTATATCTCAGTCATAACAACTTTTTTTTTGCTTCTGTGCTGCTGAATTACGCCCTTTTTAGCTTAATCGTACGTTTGCGATCGCCCTTTAACACCTGATTGATATTCATTTCGCAATTGGCCTCGACTCATTTAGCTGAGGGATGCACTTTCGAAAATCATCAACATAAAAATAAATGATATTTACATAACTAAGCATCAGAAACGAAAAGAAAACCATTTCCTTGGAGTATGGTTCGATTGCCACGTCACATCTCTCAAGACACTTTATTAAACGTCTAATCAAAGAAGTTTCTATTCCAGAAATTGACTCAAAATTGAGGTAAGGATATTATTGTTCTCTATTGACATTAACGTTCCGACTCTTGATTGATCAATGAGTGTCAATTTTCAATAGGGCTCTAGAATTTTACTTGTAAACAACGAAATTAAATTTCACCCAGCTTCTCGATAAATTGAGAGGATCAAGTTTCACAAAACACGAGGGTTTTTCGTTTCACCTATTTTATTCATACTACAGACACCAGAAACTATTTTAAAAAATAACTCACATGTCATTTTCTATATCATACACGTAGACTGGAGACTTCAACTCGTCGCTATTCATTTACAACCAGCCATTCACTCTGTTTCAAAGGAAGGTTAAGGAACTGAAAAGTAATTCAGATTGCAATTCAAGTCGCTAGATTTAGCTCTCAAAAATGCGCGTATATTCGGATGTTTAATAAGAAATACTATTTACACTGTATAGTGGATATAACAGAAAAATATGTTACTAAGTTGGTAGGCACGGAGAACTGTTTTAGCCTTAAAAGGAATCATCAAAATCACAAACTTAAATAATGATGCTACCGAAAAAAAAGGAGAGAAAGATAAGCCATGGTATTAGTAAAGATAGAGATAATTTTCGCCTTATTGAACCCTATTAGAATAAAAAAAAAAGTCGTCAAGTCTCGGTGTCCCACTGACAAAGATTTTAAGGCCCTTACCGAGCGTGAGGGCCTTACTGGGGAAGATTGGCCCGATGTTGTGGCGATACAGACCTCGCTGTATTCGGACCGCGCGAAAACAACCGAGGGAAAATATTTCCCAGCTCGCCTATAAATCATTTTATCATATGGCAAGGTAGTCCTGAGGTAAATTCGAGCGTTCTGATTGATCATTTCCACGGAAACGGTCATAAGCCGGTCATAAGCCAACAAATCCAAAATAAACAAGTTTGATCCGAGTGCCATATGATAAACTACTTAATAACTTTGCTTCCTTGAGCCATACTGAGGGATATCGGCCCTCGTTCGCTCTTTTTTTTATTGGCCCTCGCTGTGCGTAGTCCGCACTGTCACGACCTCGAGCCGATATTTCTCATTGCGGCCCTTAAACCCGGTTAATAAGAAGTTAGTATCGCAGTTGTAAGGCGTTTGATAACTTCTTCATATCATCTTTTAAGGTTATAGGATAGCAGCATACAGA